AGCGCTAAGCGCATTTAGTTCAGCTTTTTGTCTTTATCTTGGGATGCCACTGGCGCAATTCCTTAGACATCAGGTCCGGACTTGCCCACAAATATCCAACCTTTGTCATTGTCTAATTAAAGGCCTTTGCCTTTAGGTTAGTTCCTTTTCTTTTTCACTGGGCCCCCAAAATCGAGATCGCCCTTTCTCGGCTAAGTACCAGGGGTCTAGTTGCATGAGGGTGTTGATGTTATCAGCTGTCTCCTGGAATATACTGTTGGGGGTACCTGCATGCCACGATGGAGCTGGTGCAGTTAAAGTCTACTCATTTCAAAAACCTATGGCCAGTGTTGTGTTCAACTGCCTTGGTCGTTAACTTACTGCACCGTTGGTGGAATCAAACCTGCCACAGATGACAACATATGCCCTTAATAATAATAATAATAATAATGGTATATTTCACGAAGCCAGTGAAGCGTGCTAGTGTGCATGATCAAATGTACAATAATGTAAAAATGACAGTGGAAACAAGAAGTAGTAGTNGTACAGAGTGTAAGAACGTAATTTCCAAACGGGTAAAGAAGATATCATAAATGTGCAATACGGTGAAGAACGAAACACAAACCGGATAAGGTCATATGACGGAGCACTGGGAGTGATGTGTTATGCAGAGCAAATCAATGTAACGGTTGTCTTATGAAAAACATTTGGCAAGACAAAACCGGAATTTAGAATATCCGTTTAAGAGAAAATTAGCGGAAACGAGTTCGAAGAACAGGTGTATAGTGAAGAGAAAACATTATTAATTCCGGAAGAAGCGCTGCAAGCGAGCTAGAGAAGAGCGGAGTGATTCAGGAAGGGATGCTAAATGGCTTATAAATAAACAGTTTCCAATGTCAATACGGCAGGAAATGCTTCTGTGAACACGAACAATGGGCTTCGGGGCTTGACCGTTAACACAATTTTTGCTTTGTATTACTCATATTATTTGGGCGTAGGTCGTTTTGATGTGGGACAGACTACACACTAGACACCCAACCTTAAAACACCTTGTAGGTGAGGCAGAGATTGTGATCCTCAACCTGGTCCGGAATGCGAACGCATGCAGTCTAAACAGTGGATAAAACCGCGCCCAACAACCCTTGCCGGAGCCAAATTGTCCATTGTGGGTGTAGGCCCCAAGCCAACCGAATCTGGAACGAAAGGGGCGAAACTCGGCAGTCTGGGTTAATACCCAGCTGAGAAGGGAAGAGAAGAACAGCATGTTGCGACAAAATATGAGGAGAGCGTAAGTGCCCAAAATTATATATATATTCAAAAGGGAGGTGCGCTGGGGTAGAACCCAGCCGAGAAGAAATGAGGGGGAGCATGTCATGAAATAATATACGGAATGCGCAACGATCCGAATAAATATATGACAGTTTTGTAAACAACGGTGTTGATTGTTATTTTTGTAGCTCGGGTGGTATAATTAGATATTCGGTTGTTCGCCGAGCTTGGCAATTGTATTGCAAACGTTTCATCACCAATCGAGGTGACATTCTCAATGCAGTAACTGGGTGAGCGCTTACGAGTGTCCTTTTCAAAAAACAACAATCAACTCCGTTGTTTACAAAACTGTCATATATATGCAATAAAAAAGACGCACCGAGGACAGATCGCAACGATCGAAGTTGAAGAGTAAAGACTGCCAAACTGTCAGCATGCCCCGAAGATAAGGACCGCTCAGATGGTTGACATGGAGGGCCGAACCTAGATCTTCAAGGATTATGGGTGATCAACCTAGTGTAGGTTCTCACGTAGCAAGTTTGTGTTCCACTGATCAAGCTTCGAAACTCGACCAGTGTACTGATTAGAAATGATTGAAAAGTGATCACTGCTGCCTGGTTAGCATGTGCCACTGAGATGAAATGGATCAGACGAGTGGAGATGGAGGACGGACTTAGACAATTAAGGATTATGGGTGAAATACTTAGTGTTGGTTTCCACCTGAAAAAGTTTGTGTTCCACTGAACAAGCTTTGAAGCCCGACCAGTGTACTGATTAGAAACCTCCAGAGCACACCACTTTTTGGTACACGGAGAGGGTGTAACGGCATTCTTGGCTTGTGTGGCCACTACGTTAGAAGGATTTCTCTGAGCTCTCATGACGCTTATCAGGGTGCGCTTCAAACTGTATCCAGTGAAAAGGTTATGTTAGGACGAAAACCTCAGAAGAAAGCGAAAGGACTGGGGTTAAGTTACTTTGTTGTCAGAAAATTTATGTAAGTCGCTCACCTGGACGGAAATTCGTCACGCTGGGTTACGCCCAGTTGTGGCTGCTTGAGGCAGATTACCGATCTCCAGCGCGGAAGATCCGTAATAAATTTTGCTTCCAATATTTTGCAACAGACAAATACTAATAATGTATATCTCACGAAGCCCGTGAAGCATGCACAAGGCATGATCATATGATTAATAAATAAGCCTCTGAATCTCCTCTAATTGTCGGTCAAAATCTAAAGCGAGATATTTAACTCCTACGCTGCAACCGCGCCAGCTATGTTTATGGATCTTTTAGTAAAGACAGAATATCCCTTTTAGATAAAAGGATCGTTTAGCTTAAATTACCCACAAATAAGGGCATGCATCTGTAGACACCTAAAAGCGTATTTGTCCCGTGAATTCAAATGACGTCCAATGAAGATAAGATAAATTGTCCCAATAATTCTGTTGTTGCTTTCATATGACAGCGTCAACTTTATCGAGGAACGGACCAAAATAGTACATGGTGTGATGCAACTGCTCTCTCATAGCACAATACAGCTTACATCTAATCAACATCACTGTGCCTCCCAAATAGAACAACGAGTAACGCGTAGCCGAAATCGGGTCCAAAACGTCAACAAGACGAACAATCCAGCAAGTTTCTACGGTAATGCGTTAACAGATGATCAAATAAGTAAATAAATATGTACAAACCTCAAAGTGCTCTCGAAAATACTTGAAAACAAGAGCCAAGCGTTACCGTGGGCGTAATTCAACAAATCTGACCAGAACATACGCCTGGATAAGAACAGCACGCTCACCGTCACGCTACTTACGAACGGGCCAAATGCCAGCGCTCAGGTTGTAATTAAAACATGTAGGGTACGAATGAAGCAAATAAACAAACAAAGTCAAATGGTAGGATCGACATGTAAATATACAAAGAAAGTGGAATGTCAAATGTTTATGTACGTGTGAGGCAGATGATGTTGAATGAATGGAACGTAAAATTTACGAAATGTGGAACCGACTTAGATTGACTAGGCTTTACAGGAAGGATTTTCACAGATCGATCAATACACCGCCGAGCAATATCCCTCCTCGCGTCACACGATCAAACGGAGTATCAACTCAGGCCAAAATCCGGTCATGATCATTACCATATGTTTAAATCTTATCCACCAAGCGACCGAACAAATCAATCTGCTCCAGAACGAGAAGCTTTCCAGTTTCGGCATCAGGGGGGAGGTGACATCGCGGTCCACTGTAATGATTACCCTTTTGCCTTCTATCAACTCGACGGAGGCGGGGGTGCAAGCACTGCACTCTCGTCCTTTGACGCGGCCGTCAGGAAGGTCGGGCCATCGAGCCATGAGCATAGCTTGTTCAATGATTTCAAGCCTTGGGAGCAGTGGCCGGCTGGGTTATCCGCAGATTCCACTTACCGCCATTGGTGCACCTTGGTCTCCTCGTGCACTGTCGTCAGTCGGTTGGAGACAAAGGTACTGAACCTATTACTGACATTGTTCACATAATGCATTACAATGGTGGAGTCGGTCCAGAACGTGACGCGATCTTCGAATATATGGAAGCCCTGTCGCAACTGCTTGGCTATACGCACCGCTAGCACGGCCGCGGTCAGTTTGAGGCGGGGCATCGAAACACATTTCATTGGGGCTACCCGGGCTTTGGCAAAAAGCAATTCCGTCTTGCGCTCACCGTTCACGTGCTGCAAACATACGTAGGCTACTGCTCCGTATCCCGTTTCAGACGCGTTGGAGAATAGGTGCAGTTCGCCCTTCGTCGCTTGGCTACTCCGGCTGAGTCGGCGCGGAATCAGTATCTCACCTAGCCTACTGAGGCTGGTCAACCATTGCTCCAAGTCCGTCCGGTCCCGCTGGTCTAAGGGTTGATCCCACCCCGTTCTTTTTCGACAAAGTTGTTGAAGGAGGATCTTACCCGGCAACAACCTTGGCGCGACAAACCCGAGTGGGTTATATAAGCTGGATACCGACGATAGCATCCCTCGTCGGGTGGGATTCCTCTCGGGTAGCTTTAATTGAAAGATGAACTCGTCTAACTCCGCGCTTCATCGCACCCCCAAGGTCGGCTAGATAGGGAGTAGCTGTGTGATTGAGAGCCCCACTCGCTCTGTCAGTTTCGGAACGTTGTCTAAAACTAAACGTGAGTTAGACAACCATTTGGTTAAATGGAACCACCCGTTCTCCAGTAGATACTTTAGCTGCAATACGTGTTGCGAGGCTTCTCTCACGTTGTGAAAGGCACCCAGGAAGTCGTCAACGTAGAAATTATTCGCAACGCTAGCTGACACCGAGTTCAGGAAACCGTTTCCGTATTGAAAAGCTGTTCGCCAATGTGCAAAGTTTGCGCAGAGGCGCATAAAACCCCTTAGAATGGATGAACGGTCAGTCTATAGTCTACCGTGGGGTTCTGCAAGTCACCATCGGACCACCATAGCAATCGCAATCGTGGTTGTGAGACATCCGACCGTTCTATGTATCCCAGTTGAACGTTCCGTTGCATTGCCCCGACGTATTATTGACGAATGTCTGTGTCGCGTACCAGTCATCTTTTAGGGTACTCTAATCTTTTTAAGGCTATTCCGTGATTCTTTGGCAATTGGTCGTATCTCGCCCTCCATGGCAACGGCACTTCGAACCGGTCCGGCTGGCACCGTGTTTCTGTTTCGATTATTGGTAACGCCTGATTGTCTTCTACGGAAGGGCCTCGTTTCTGGTCGTTTAAGTCATCGAACTAGTTATCATACATTCTTTGGAGAGACTGTTCGACCGTATTGTTGCTAGCAGTGGTGTTGGTGAAGTTAACTGATAACGGTTTACGATTTTTCGCCTGAAGTGGTCGAAACAACGTCCATCTGATTACGGTGCGAGCAGCATATGGTTCTTTCCTGCCGCTCAGTCTCTGCTCCAGGACCCAGTGTGCTTCGGGCACGTCACACCCTATTAGCAAATCTACTTCGGGAGAGTCGGCTTCTTCGAAACACAAGCCTCGCAGGCGCGGCCAGCGCGTTGCTAATTCCCCGATTGATTCCACTGCTTGCATCGGCAAGTCTGCGATGGTGAAAGCTTCCGTCATCTCTACTTGTTCACCATTATCTAGAGAAACTAACGTCACGTTTGCTTGATCGCTGGTCGTCGCCTTGGTGCCGTTCACCGTGCTGATCGTCAGGGAAGATGGTTGGGTGGTGATGTTGTGATTTACGGTCAACCGTTTGTTGATCAAGGTGGTATCGGATCCATTGTCCATGAACGCCATCGCATTCACCACCCCACCGGGTGTTAATATGCCCATCGGTGTTACCCCAAGACGTACCTGCTTCTCAACCGATTGAGATAGTAGACATACGCTGGGGTTTTGGGGTGCTGATAACTGGGTTTCTCTTATAGAATGC